CTGAGGAAATTCAGGCACATGCCTGCAATAGCTCAGGCTAGAAGCCAGGAGATGCTAAAGCAGCCCTCCCTTTCCTTCCTCAGTGCTGAGATGAGGAGGGGTGTGGCCGGGCCCTGGCAGAACGCTCTGATTAGGGAGAGGTTTCTCCCCCACTCCCGCTTGAAAGCATAGCATTTATGAACTCTGCTATCAGCATTTAGCACTCCATCAGAAAAGAAAGCCTTTCTCATGAGTTCAAGCTCTTTTTAAAGAACTTTTTCCAAGGAAAGGAGCATTCCAAGGAGGAACATTACCAGCTACCTGTTGATTAGCTCCAAAAAGCCCTAAGCCAACACTGTCCTGTCTGCCTTTGTCCTGCCTTACACAGACACCTCTCAGCATTAGCTAGCATACCACGTGCTTGCTATGGTCCGTGCTGGGGGGGGCGGGCAGGGGGTGGAAATTCCTGCTTAAGCAGCAAGGGGAGGTTGGAGAGCAGGGCAGGGGAAGCCAGGTAGATGCTGCTCTGCCTGCAAGTCTCTGCCAGAGCTCCAGCGAGGGGCAGAGGGGAGGGGCCAGTCCAGCTCTCTGGAACAGAGTCCAGCCCAGCCCAGAGAGCATGCTGGGGGACAGATTTAACTTAAACCAGGAAGGGGTTTGGGATAGACATTGCATAAACCGGTTTGACCCATATGAGTTAAGTCTGATATACTACATTCAACCAGGCTCATCTCAAACTGGTTTCTGCCATTTTCAAACTGGTGTTTGTGCACTGAATTTCTGTTCTGTTACAGGTTTAAACCACTTTTTGATCACTTAAACCTGTGTTTATGTGTAATGTCTGTCCTTAGCCATAAAGTTTGAACAGAATATTGCAGCTGTTTTGAGTGAGGAGATGCATTTTTCCCATTACAAAAACTCATCTTGGGATTTTATATAATTGGTAACTGAAATAGCTGTGTACTGAGAGCTAGAATTAAGCATGGAAATTACTATCTCTGTGAAGGAAAGCTTTTATGCATTCTGTTTGCTTGCTTGTTTTTGTTTTGTTTTTTTAAGGTGGGGAGCTTTTACTTACTGAGTTAAGAGCCTTTGGAAATGATGCTCTGTGAATATGCATGAGATGATGCATATGTTTTCTTACTAAATTCATAGAGGCTGCTGTCAATGGGAGGTAGATTGGGCCTATAGTGTGCAGCTAGTGACAGTGTGCATATACTTAAGAGTGCTACCCTCAACAAGCGATTGAATCAGTTGGAAGATGTCAGGCCTAAAACTGCTCATTAATTCTTTCTGGAAAAAAAAAAAGTCTCTATAAGATGATGCTGATTTGTCACCCAAAATGACAAATGAAGGGGCAGTCGGAGGGGCTGGATGTGTTCAGATCAGTGGGGCCAGATGAACTTAATCCAATGGTGCTGAAGGAATTGGCCAGTGTCATAGCAGAGCTGCTTGCATGGCTATTTGAGCACTCACGGTGCTCCAGTCAGGTCCCGGAGGACTGGAAAAGGGCCAATATGGTCCCTATTTTCAAGAAGGGGAGGAGGGAGGAACCAGGAAACTATAGGCCAGTTAAGTTTCACCTCTATCCTTGGGAAAACTCTAGAAAAAATAATTAAGAAGCACATTTGTAGGAGCCCAGCAGGGGAAATAATGCTGAAAGTAAATCCACATTGGTTCACTGCAGGTAGATTCTGCCTGACTTACCTTGTTTCTTTTTATGACCAGGTCACAAAATTCTTGGACATAGGAGTTGAGGTAGATGTTATCTACCTAGACTTTAAAAAGGCCTTCAATATGGTATCTCATTCTGTTCTCGTAAATAAACTGACAGGCTGTGATGTAGATGATTACATGGTCAGGTGGGTGGCAAACTGGCTTAGGGGTGACACCCAGAGGGTGGTGGTGGACGGGTCGATACCAAGCTGGAAACATGTGGGCAGTGGAGTCCTGCAAGGCTTAATTCTTGGACCAGTGCTATTCAATGTCTTCATCAGTGACTTGGACAAAGGCGTGGAGAGCACCCTGTCCAAGTTGGCAAAGTTAACACACCAGAGGGTAGGGAACTGATTTGGGCAGATCTGAACAGGTTGGAAAAATGGGCAGAATGAAACAGAATGCAGTTCAACAAAGACAAGTGCAAAGTGCTGCACCTGGGCAAAAAGAACCAACACACTTACAAGCTGGGGGATGACCCTCTCAGCAGCACAGCAGCGGAAAGGGATCTTGGAGTCATAGCTGACTCCTAGATGAACATCAGTTGTCAATGTGATGAAGTAATCAACAAGGCTAACTGCATTTTATCATGCATTAGCAGATGCATGACTAACAGGTCCAGGGAGATGATGCTTCCCCACTGTTCAGGCCGCAGTTGGAGTACTGTGTCCAGTTTCGGGTGCTGCACTTCAAGAAGGATACGGAGAATCTTGGGAGGGCTCAGAGGAGGGACACTCATATGGTCAGAGGCCTGCAGGCAAGGCCTTATGAGGAGAGACTGAGGGATCTAGATCTCTTCAGTCTTTGCAAGAGAAGGCTGAGAGGTGATCGTGTTGCTGCCTATAAATTCATCGGGGAGGGCAGCAGGGAATAGGAGATGCTCTATTTACTAGGGCACCCCCTGGAATAACTAGGAACAATGGCCACAAATTGATGGAGAGCAGATTTAGGTTGGACATTAGAAAGAACTTCTTCACAGTAAGCGTTGCCAGAATCTGGAATGGGCTTCCAAGGGAGGTGGTGCTCTCCTGTATCCCGGAGGTCTTCAAGAGACAGGACAAGCACCTAACTGGGGTTGCCTGATCTCAGAGCTCTTTCCTGCCCAGGGCAGGGGGTTGGACTTAATGACCTACTGAGGTTCCTTCCGACCTGAACATCTATGAATCTGTGAACTGGGGCTGGATGATGGCATACACACATCTGATTTCTTTTTCCCCCGAGCATCTGGGATCCAGAACATTTTTAAGAATCAGTTATTGTCAGGTAACTTTTCATCCTTTCTTCTTCCAGTTTCTCTGTGTGTGGATCCCACTCATGGTTCAGTTCACCAGTTTAATTCTATTCACAGAAGCACAGAAAAGAGCCCTCTAGAGGTCATTCACCTTTATACAGATTGAAGAAATGCTTTTCCTACTTCAGCATCAAATTTCCATTCAAGGATGAGAAATACATGAAACAAAGGCTGTGTGACCACCCTGTGATGACCCTACAGATGGCAGCTGCTGGAACTCTGCTGAAAAAGGCTATTAAGGTAGTTTAGACTAGCTGAACAGACACTGATATAATTTGGTGGGTCTAATTTGTTAACATCATATGCCATTCTAATACAATCCACTACCCGCTGACAGAGGATGCAATGAGCAGGGTGACAGCAGCTCAAAACATGGTTCTATGGAAGACTAATGTACCAAATTTGAATCCCACAAGGGAGAAATCATTCTTGTCAGTGGAAAATCTTGCGTTAAATCTTTCATGAATCTGTTAATTCTTAGAGGAAAATAGTGAAGAGCCCTGCACTGGGAAGTGACAGGTTAGGATTGCTCCCAAATAGATGTCGATGGGTTTTTGTACACACGAAATGTATGACAACAATAAATGGTCCAGAATGACTGGGTTGCATTACAGTTAGTTCCTAGCTGCTGTAGTGAAGGGATTTCTGCACCTGTAAAAAGCTATTCCCTTCCATTAACATCATTGGAGTGTTGATAAATATAAAAGGAAAGTGAGTTTGCCTCATGTTTTGTCTTTCCTTCCTTACAACCCTACGCATTAAGAAAAATGGAAAGAGGTTGACAATGAAATTAGACCCCTGACTATCTTGGAGAAGACTTAGGTAATTTTTGTTGTTAAAAAGACATCTGTAGAAAGCCTCTCCATTGAAACTGGGTCCTGTAGGGTTGATCACTTTTACAGTCCACTTACGTGATGTTTTCCTACTCATTTTTTGTCTGTTGCGGAAAAGGGGCAGAGCTACAAGAGTAATGTCATGATGACACTACACCATGACACAGGTGAGTTTGCCCTGCTCCTGTCTGTCTATGTAGTTAGGGACCTACCTACCTAAATTGTGGTAGGCGTTGTCCCTGATCACCAGGAAATCCGGCATTGGATGAAATCTTCAAAAGGAGACTAGTTTAGACTCCTCTTGGAAAAAGAGCCCAGAGGCTGCGCCATCCCGGGACTCCCGGAGCCGGTGCCTGAGGACTCGGCGGTGGAGTCAGCGCCACGAGAACCGCCCAGCCCGGGCTGTACCACCTCGGGCTCGCGGCGCTGAGTGCCCCCGTCAGTGGTGCGTTCCGAGTCACGTGCGGGGCCTCAAATGCCGCCATTTCCTACCCTGTTCTAGCCCCGCCCCCGCGGCGAGCTGCAACCAATCGGAGGCTCCCATATGACGCAGAGGAAAAGCCTTGCGACGTCGCGGTGCACGCCGGGAGCCAAGCTCGCTGTCCCTGCGCATGCCGGGAGTTGCAGTCGCGAGGCGCGCGGCACGCTGGGAGCCGCGGTGGGGGGCGGGGCGGGGCGGGACTGGACCGGGCCGCCCCGCCC